TTCATCTCCTTTGAGGAGAATTCCGTGCGCTTTGACCCGAAGGTGGAGTACATTGACAGCATGGAAGTATCGGATGACGAGGCTCCTGATCACCAAATGACTTGCCATGAAATGATGATGCTTTCTCGGGACTCAAAAGGTACCCAAACGCTTCTGGATCAACTCGACAAAATGGACATGGCCGACTCCGATGAAAATGAAGATGACCACCCAGAGTTCATTCGCAAATCCATCAACCAACCAGAAGAGTTTTCGCGTGATGCCGTGGACTTAGACTGCAGTCTCTTTGTTGCTTACATGAATGGAATCCGCGGGATTACCACCCCCAAGTACCAAACATACCTTCAAGTTCAGGTTGACCACATTCGCCTGGGCAAGGATACCGAATTTGTGGATCCAGAGGGTGCACCTTCATTGTACCTCGACTTAGTCTCCAACCACGTCATTGGCACCTTCTGCAACCTCCTCGCTGAAGACGAGCTTAATGAGTTGATCACCCTCTGCGCAGAAGAGCAAACCGGCAACCAAAATCATACAAGCTCGCCGACCCTAGACTTGGATCACCACCAGGCACTCTTGAACAAGATCGAGAAATTCCTGCTGGACAGGCTGGCGAATGGTCGTGTCGACATCGGTCCTGATGAGCTAAGCTTCTTCGCTGGTGGCATTGCGCATGAACTCGGAACCAAAACCTTGTCTGCACAGGTTTAAGATCTGCATGCATATCGGCAAACAAACACCACGACTTTACGATTATGAGAAAACGTTTTCTTTCGGATTCGCCGACTATCTGGCGAGGGGGCACACAATGGGAACGGCTCTTTAGCCAGGAAAAGCATTCAAATTTCTCACGAGTTGCTTTCGGGCTAGGATTTGACAGTGGTCATGTAGTTTCCCGAACTAGCACTTGATATTCAAAAAAAACAGTTTCAAAACTTCAAATGTTCCCAAGTTAAGGTAGATGTAGCGCAGCCTGCTCCTCTGCCATCGTCGTCTCGTATAACTGACTCTGGCGTTGAATGCCCGACAAATCACTCTATTTCGCCCTCTTCCCACCTTATAGCCTACCGTCCGAGTCTCGGGCGAGGCGAGTACACCTAAACAGGCCACTCTTCACTCAAAAATAGCTCACCCTCGAAGCGTAAAGTCTCCGATATTACACCGGCCCATGTAACGGCTGTTCAACCATTCGCAGCCCATTTCAAGTCCCAGGTACCCAGCATCGAAGATCACACTGTACACATATATAAAACCCTCCATTGTATCTTGCGTTTATGTTGTAGGTAGATAATTTGCAGTATGGAGTACTATTGTGAGATATATATATCGCATGCAACCGACACCAGGAACCACCAGCTCCGAACCGGACGTTTCAGAGATCCTTACTAGCCCCTGATACCCCTCACACGTATGTTGTACAACATACCACGCCATTCTTCTTCCAGAAATCCCTTAGTCTAACGCATCTGATACAACAGAAAAGCCCCTTCATCCCTCATATTCTAGCTAGCAAAGGACTCAGACACTAGTGGGCGTTCTGGCCCGGGGAATTTCTGGGTTACATCCTTGTAGGATGGGCTGATGTATTTTTGGGCGAGGAGTGTGCGGCCAGTGCGGTTACTGGTAGCTGTACTCCGTGAGGGTTTTGTGAAGTGGTATTATGGATACGGGTCAATAGTCGATACAACTCAGCAAGGTCGATTACTACTAAAATATCCTATAGGAGGCTTCTATTCTTTTTTTTTTGGGGGGGGGGGGGGGTTTCGTTCCCCATTTCTTCATAGGGTGGGACGACTTTCTGCAGCGGGTAAATGTCCACCTAGCTCCACTGAGATCAACGGGGATTGTCGGTGCTGAGTTTCATTTGAGGGTGGAAATGGAGCTGCATGTTCGCTTGGTACTCCTTAGTTAGATGATAAGTGGCACGGAAATCAGGGATTGGATGGTGCCAAGCTATCTACAGGTTACAGGTTCCATGCGTGTACGTCGTACTATGGAGTTAGTATATCGGATAGGTATCTTCATGCAGTGAAGATCACCCCGGGGTTTGGCATAGACGGTACAATCAACAGAAGCAAATATAAATCGAATGTGTGTACGGAGTACTGCGTACTATATGCACTTGGATCTATCCAATATGCACCTGTGCTCTCGGAAGAATTGAAGGTGAGTGACAGATCATATAGAAATGGCCACTCGTGCATATCCAAAATCGAAAAGTCGACTCGCCGTTTTTAATTAAATTCTCTGTCGATCACAACGGCGCAGAGCACAGACAGCATCGGGAGGAACCTTGGAAAGGTAAAAGGTACACTAAGGCATAGCATACTCCGTTATGGAGTAGGGGGAACTTAGATTTTTGGAAGGATGTGGCGAAGATGATCGCAAATTGGCTTCTGCTTCCTCTGTTCCCTGTCAATTTTCTCGTTCCAAGGTTGTTGGACTCGCTGTGGATCATTGACGATCACCTCTTTCCGCATTCGGAAGATATTCTGCTGTATAGCGTGCGGGCCGATAATCGATGAGCCAATAACAAAAATCGTATGGTGGTGCATAGAATATACGCCGTATTGTGTCATCCACGTTGTATGAGTCTCATGTGTGAGGAGACCGGAGAAATAGGCGAAGAGATCGCGGAGATATTCGGCCAATCCATCCATCCGAATAATCAGCCGTCTGTCGATCACGGCAGGATCGTTAGTTTTATTGAAGTCTCCATAGACGCTAGAATGTGGAGCTATGAAGGATTGTCATGAAGGGTTTGACAGCTTGGAACCATAGTGGAGCGTCCTTCTTTCCCTATGGGGTATGTTGGCTCCAACTACTCCGTATGGAGTTCGGGAATGGGATATGTTCGCTGGTTCTAGGGCCAGGGGCCGTTAGATAAACTAGGTTTTCTTTTTCTGATATCGATTATGAACTGTACGTTGTATGTTGTAGTCATGGCCACGCGTGCTGTGGTGGGTTGGGGTTGTCGGGGATGAAAATGCAGACGCCTCGGGCCGTGGGGGAGGCTTATTTGAGGAAACAGTAAGAATGATGATATTTCAACGTTGGCTATAACGTGTAGTGTTTTGTTGTATAATACGGGAGACTTCTGCATGAGATGGTCTGAAGCTCGTACTTGGACGAGGTCCAGAGACGTGGATGCTGTACATAGTACGCTGCGTCTAGGGCTGAGGGTGATACGGAGTACAACATACCACGGGATACGCATGAGAATGAGATCTGATATATCACTGGGTCTATGCAGCAGCTCTGCAAGGTGCAAGAACAAGTTGTACGATGTTATGCTGTACCTTTCTTCATTCCTCTTTCTGGAGACTCAGTAGGAATCTCCTGATATTCCTGCATGATTCAAGTGACAATATGCATTGTGATCGTTAGTTACTGCTAGTGCGCGCTACGGACTGGAGCTGGCAATAGTCGCCATAACTCTATATTGTTCATTGCCACATGGGGCTACTTTGACCCGAAGTCCTGTCATCTCCGATGGTATGCTTAGATTGGTACGGAGTACTCCGTATATTCCGTACATCCCGTACATTATATTGTCACATCTTCAGCTATAGCACTATATATTATAATGAGACAATATTCTCGGCCCCTCATTCGGTTAGGATGCGTTCTTCTAATAAATGAATCGAGTGGTATTCCATGGGCGGGAATCCGGCAAAGGGATTGATTGGACGATCCAGAGTTGGTTGACGACAGGTTCAGATCAGGTACGGGGGGGCGCGTCACATGGGGGCAGCTTTAGCAGATGCTGATTGGGGAAATTGATATCATTTGGGGTTGTCTCAGATGTTAGAGTGTTTTTTTTTTCTTTTTCGAAGGTCTTGGAAATCGTGGCATAAAGTTTCTAGAAACTCGAAAATGGGGACCGAGTATCCCGTAGTATGGCATTTCTGCGCCACAAGCTTATCCTCGTGTGCCCCTGGGACCCGTGTAACGGGTGAGGAACGTGTGGAAAAAGGATGCTATGCGCTAACAGCCGCACTACCGAATGTGCCCCGTAACAGCGGGTCATACTCGAATGAAATATATCACAATTAGAAATACTTCCCGTGATACATCTTGCACCCATGTACCCTGCGTACTGGGTAGCCTTCTCTTTAGGAATGGGAAAAATCAATAATTGCACCGAGAAAGGAATGGCGCTAAACGCTAACTAATGTCTCCCCGCCGCCTGAATCCATGGAACCTCATTCAATGATTGGCCACACACAGCCAATGGGGCATGAAACGAGGTGCAAGCGGGGCACTTTAGCGTGCCGATCGCTGGGACATTGTTCTTTTTTTTTTCCCCTGGAGCGATGGCGATTGTTTTTTTTTCCCTTTTCTGGTCCCCAATAAGGGGAACTGTCTTCGAATAGCTCTCTAATAAGTTATACAGTAACCACCTGAAATATATAAGTGAATAGGCCACTCCGTACTCCGTGTAGTGTTTGAAATAAAGGAATAACTTAAACAAGCTACAGGGGTCTTTACAATGCAACTCGAAAAGAAAAGTGTAATCGGGTAAGATTGTAAGATTTGTATACAAATTGCTCCATAAATTATTCGGTAGTCGACCCCGAATATTCCCAAATCCCCACTGACTCAGGTTGAATAATTACTCCTGACTCTCTCTCTCTATCTCTCTTTCCTCAGTGATTCTCTCTCATCCTTTTGCTTCCTACTTTCCCTATGCCACGGTATGACCGATCGCATCTTTGATTCAAACGGGTAAGTTGCAAATCCACCTTTCTATTGTCACGAGGTCTCATTGAGGCGAGGTTGCGCATGCAGTCGTACAATGGCCCCCCAACTTCCCTCAAGTCAGATTTCACCTGCAGAATCGTGTCAGACTGACGTTACTGGGAGTACAGGATGATTTAAGAAATTTCGACTTCTACCCAGCGCCTTCCCGTTCAAGTCGAGACCCGCAAAGGAAGACAAAGAGGCCACCAAAGCTCTCGAGTCTTAGAGCCCTCGACCTAATAAACCTGGGGTTCACAATGTCCACCAAAGCACCCGATTTTCTAGATACTGGGGCCGCGTCCCGTTCGCGCAGTCCCAGCGTCATATCTAGCGACTCGCAATTTTCTCGAGTCAACCTCATTTCCCCGCCGTCCGTAACGCCGGCTCCAGCGTTTATCTCGCCATCTGCAGCTTCAGATATTATTTCTGCCGATCAGGAGTTCAACGCCGCCGATTTTGTGGCTGAGGATGAGGAAACCGGGGCCGGTGCCACGGCGCTGGTGACCCCCGCCGCGTTATCGCTCCTGAACGGATTTCTCGATAATCTCTTGTATAATATCCTTGCTTCCTCAAAATCGACCCAGCTCGCTTGTATTCGAACCGCCATGGCCGATGTATTAAAGCCCCGTTTGGCCAAGGAAGTGGTCTCCGCGGCTGAAGAAGAGCTGAGCGAATTTATGGGCGGAGCGGACGATGAACAGACGGAATTCCGCGGTGGTCAGGAGCCAGGCGGCGATTTTGATCTAATACATTCATGGAAATTAACCCGTCTACGATGCATGGTCTACACACGACTGGGTGACATGGAAGAGGACGACGAAGATGAGTTTATCGCGCAAGATAGCCTCGGCGAGACCGATGGAGCACCCCGCAGATTTACCAGTCATGTCGACAACATTACGCCGGCAGCTTCTATTTTCCTTACCTCGATCATCGAATATATTGGCGAGCGCGCACTTGTCATTGCTGGCGAGACATCGCGGTCCCGTTTGTCAGCACAGCTCAATGGCGGTGATAACTTGAGTGGATCCGGAGAGCGGAAAAGAATCGACCGACTTGTGGTGGAAGATCTCGATATGGAGAAATTGGCCCTGAATGCAACCTTGGGTCGCCTGTGGCGCACGTGGAGGCAGCGCAAGCGCAGAACCACTCTTTCTCGAACTCTATCCCGTGAATCATTCCGCCCTCGGGGATACTCCATGGCAAACAGCCGGAAGAGCAGCATTGTGACCATTGAGGAACCAGTCAGTCCCAATGAGCCTCTCCCCGTGGCGATACCATCTTTCGACCCCGCCACCGTTCCCTTGCCAATGAGCGATTACGATGTTCAAGAGATCGAGGTCCCAGGCTACATTGGCGATCTAGATGGGGTGCATGGGGAGGTGCAGACCATGGAGGCCGTTGTTGCTCACAAGGTGCGACCACGCAGTCTGATGGTGTTTTCATCGCCCTCGCTTGTGCCAAAATCTCCAGGTTCAGCAAACAGCTCGCCCGTGAGTGCGTCAGCTATTGAACCTGGGAAATCAATCCGTCATGTTCGCACAAAGTCTCTGCCTAATGGGGCACCTCCGCCCGACTTCGCCGAGGAGGAGGCAGAGCTACCAGCAGACCACCCATCACCCACTGCTTCAGAGAAACAGCAACTGGAGACTATGTACGAGGATGATGAATCCGCAGAATATGTGGATGCAGCCGAAACTTCCCCTGGCATTGCTATCACGACAGAGCACGAAGAGACCGCGTCCTTCGAATCTGCAGCAGAAACATCCGAAAAAGCGAGAATGTCAGTCTTGCATGAAGAAGAAGAGGAGACACCTGCGGTCAGTGACATGGTTGCATCCTTGCGCGCTATCGCCCAAGATGAAGATGCTATGACCGATCAGTCCAATAGTGCTCGCATCTCCATTGTATCCCTGGGCGATCGGCCGAATCAGAAAGACCCAGAAGTTATTGAGGGCACTGGGTTATGCGAAAAACCTAAATTGACTGTGATACACCGACCAAAAAGACAAACCTCTAGGGATGTCAGTCTCCTGAACGCAACGTCGATCTCTGGACAGACTAGCGACCCTGAAATGCAAGCCGTTGCGGAGAGTAAGCCTCCAACGCAAGGAGTTGAGACCACGCCGGCTCCACCCGCACCCCCCATCGAGGCTGTCACATCTTGTATCGATCATGATGCGACCGATGAAGATCAGAATAAGCCAATCATGACAGCCACGCCTCCGACTCGGTCATCGGAGGATTACCCCGAAGCGGCAAATTCTTCACAGTCCCTCTCACCCGATATGACTCGCCCGATTTCTGTTTCAGGTAATTCGCAACAATCGAAAACTCGCCCCAGACCTGCTCCATTGGAGGTCACCGCCAGCAACCGAAGCCTCTCTGCCTCCGCGGTTGAACGAGCGGCTGTTCAGCGCATGTCTCGGCCATCGATTTCAATGCCTTCATCTGTCATCACATCCCGTCGGTCTGGGAGCTTCGGCAGTGGTCGCGAGAATACACGTCCAATGACTTCTGGCTCTACCACATCGCAGGTGTCTAACAAGCTGAAGGGTATAATGGGTCGACAGGGTGAATCTCCTTCGCTGCGCATGCGCAGCTCATCTGAAACTAGTCGCGCGTCCGGCGGCAGTGGAGACTCTGTAGACGATATTGCCGATTTGGACAAGTTGATCAACAGCGATGAGACTATTCATTACACCCTTACTCCCCGAAGTGTGAGGGAGATGACCTTCCCTGACACGTCCAACCGTGCAGTTCCTCGATCAGAGACGGCAGGCGGCGTCTCCGACCTGGCTGAGTTCTTGAATACCACTGCACCACCAGGTGAAGATAAACACCGCCCTCGTGCCTCGGTTTCCTCAAGAGCAACTGGAGAGTTGACTCCAATCTCTCACACCAGATCCATTGAGTCACCCAAGCACATCCCGCTTACCACACGATTGACCAACATGTCATCAACGTCGAGGTCTAGCAAGATTGGACAGGCGCGAGATGCGCGAATCGCTCCCTCAGATTCGACACGCGACTTTGCGGAATTCATGAGATCGACTGGCCCTGTTAGTGGGCCATACGAGTCTAAGAGCTCTATCTCTGCCGAGAGCACACGGCCTGTCCGTGCTCCATCAAGTGTCTCCACTAACTCCCGTGGAAACCGACCTAAGCTTCAAGCTCGGTCTGCGGAGACGAGAGGATCTCAGACCTCGGACCTCATCGACTTCATTCGCGAGGGACCTCCTATGCCAGGAGGTGCTTCCCGTATTCCTCGGACAGTTGCACCTTTCCGCAACACCACCGATTCGGATGATCTTCTGATGGGAAACACAGCATCCAGCTCCTTCGCCAGCACTAGCAATGGATCCACACCTAATAAATCCTTGGCATCTCTTGGTTCGCGGACCGCGTTGCTGGATTCAAACCGAAGCAAGCCTACAGCATCGGGAAGCGCCCCGGACTTCGATGAGCCCAAGCCTGTTCGGAAGCAACGTCGTGCTCCAGATCCCTACGCCATTGACGACGATGACGATGACGCGCTTCTAGAAGAGCTTCTGGAAAGGGAAGCAAACCCGAAACCCAGGCGCGAGGAGGAGAGCCTGATGGATTTCCTGCGCGATGCCCCTCCCCCTCCTCCCTCCGAACAATCCCCACAACCCTTTGCAATGAGTACCCCTGCGTCAAATGGAGCATCGGGAATGAAGGCCCGCTTGCTCCGCACCTCACAAACATCTTTGCGCACACAAATTGCACCCACAAAGGTCCAGTCTAATTACTCTGCCAAGGTTGGCCAGGAGCGCAACAATGGCACCATGCCTTCTATCTCAAATCGCAAAACCGACACTGGTGATTTGGCAGATTTCCTACGAAACACTGGGCCTCCTCCAAGCCCTATGCGGGCTTCATCAACACCGATGGGCTCTAAGACGAAGGACAGTGGCCTCTCCCGTTTCTTCACGCGCCGAAAGAAGGTCGAGGTCTAAGGGGTTGAAAATTACCCTGACGACATCCTCGACTAATGTCTTGCTTTGCTGAGCGTTCTAATTCATCTAACGATCTACATATCATGTCCATCGCTCTGGGCTTTCTTGTTTGTGCAACAGCACTGCCGTCTGTATCATTTCCTTTCTTTTTTACATCTTTCACATAGAGTCGTGTTCTCTTTTCTTTATTGTTTATTATGGCTACGTCCAGGTGGCTTTTCCTATCTTCTCTTGCGCTTTTATGCACCACTTTGTTTTCTGCCCTTCTGCGTGGGACTGAACGATTAATACGGACTTCGGGTTTACTATTTTGCATCTTCGTTGGGACGTTGCACATGTGCTTTGATTGCTTTCGTGGATTTCGAGATACCATGCCTATACTTGAGCTATTTTTCAATGCCTGGACACTTAGAAACCATTTCATTATTCTGTGAACACTATCTCCAATACATATTAGCAATTCTACTTAGGATATCCAAAACAAACCAGACTCCAGCAATATTTGCTGTGTCAAATAAGACCCCCCTCAGTCGAAGTATAGATCCTAGGCCGTTACCCCGGAACAAAGTTAATCCCGCACTCCCCTTACCAGGTGTCATCAACAGCACCAAGCATCTGTGTTTACAACCGCCAATTCCACGCCGCAACAATGGGCACCTCGTCAACCATGCTGAGGGCCATCCTTGGCTTCCTCTTCGTCTTCTTCCAGCTCGCCAGCGCCCTAAAATTCGATCTTGTCGCCACCTCCGGCGGCGGCAATAACGAGCGATGCATTCGTAACTTCGTCTCGAAGGACCAGCTCGTCGTTGTCACTGCCATTGTCGGCGGCTCGAAGGGTGATGGCCAGAGGGTCAATATTCATGTATGTGGAATTATTTCTGGATGTGGATGGGATTCCGTCCTGTGTCTGCTGGGACTTGGATGCCAAACCGCCGAACTGCTACATTGTGGACCCCAACTAATACTCTTATTTTTCTCTGTATAGATCAAGGACTCTATGGGCAATGACCACGGTCGCCCTAAGGATGTCATCGGTGAGACGCGTCAGCTGTTCACTTCGCCCGCGGACACGGCTTTCGACGTCTGCTTCGAGAACCAGCTTGTCGGCCACAGTAAGTGGTAGTCCCCACGAACAACCCAAACAATCGACCGGGGAAAAGTCAGAGTTAAAGGAGAATGTGATACTAAAACAACGCCACCCAATTAGACAGCATCGCGAACCCCTCCCGCCCCATCGAACTTGACGTCGACATTGGCGCCGACGCCCGCGACTGGAACAGCATCCAATCTCAGGAGAAGCTCAAGCCCATTGAGACTGACCTCCGCCGCATCGAGGAGATGGTTGCCGATATCGTGACCGAGATGGAATACCTGCGTGCGCGTGAGCAGCGTTTACGTGATACCAACGAGAGCACCAATGAGCGCGTGAAGTGGTTTGCTTTCGGAACTATGGGCATGCTTGTCGGACTTGGTGCTTGGCAGGTTGTTTACCTGAGGGCTTACTTCAGGTATGTTGAATTGTGGTTGTGGTGGAAGGTGAAATTTGTTACTGACTATTCGGTTCTTGCAGATCTAAGCACCTTATCTAAATTTACTGGTCGAATGGTTGCATCTTTGATGGTTCTTTATTTTTTGGTTTTGCAGCGGTTGCATTGCAAATCCTTTTGCTCTAATGTCGAGTGGCATTCTGTTAAACAGTCATGATCTCAATGATATAAAATGTACACCATGCTTTCTGCAGCCTGGCGCTAATAATACTTTCTAATTCCATGTGATGTCTCGGGGGTGGATGGTTAGTAGGGCCTATTTTCACCCGTGAGGTAGTACCCGAGCTTTAATGGATGGATTAATATCTACCTATGTAAGTTGCTAGAACACTACCCACATGGCTACATAGTTACATAGTAGGTAGCTCTGGAGGGAGCTTCTGAGGTGAGGTCGGTGTATACATCTAGATCGACCTCTTGCGGTAGGATTCCGAGTTTGATGAGACCAAAACAACAAATAGGCGAAGACAAGAAGCAAAAAAGTACCTCAATTACAAGCCCGAAAAGGTCCCAATAGACACAATCTAAAGAACTGCGTTGCGTCGAGGAGTGTGTAATCTATGGCCGCTAAGTGGAATGTTTAGTATTGCAAACAAAACAAACACCGGGCATTGCAGGAGCTTCTCGGTTCCCCGGGGCATTACACCGGATGATGTCAAAGCCGAGCTTCAAACGCCAATCCATCCCTAGAGGAATGAAAGTCTCAACTACCTCTCTATAGGATACTGCAACAAGATGTCTGCCCCGCGTATACTCCATCGCCTCGCGCGACCAGTGCCATCACCCCTAAGCACTACCACAAGACTAAGCCGCCAATTCGGCGCAACAGCTCTACGCCTCAAAGATGGCGACGATGCTCCCGAGGTGAAGGCGCACCGCGCAAACCAGGCCAACAAGCCCCCGAACCAATTCGTGCCCAACACTACCTCCACCATGACAAAAGACTTCCTCAGTGTCGGCCAGAAGCCTCCGCCACCGGAGATGCTGAACTCAGTCGATCCCAACTACAGACCGTCTGATCCGTACCCCGGAAGGATTGAGCATTTCACCGGTGGTCGTCAGGATAACGGAGCGCAGAAGCCCGAACTTGGCGTTGGTGAGATGGAGGGTATTACGTTCAAGGTTGAGCCTTTGAAGAGAGTTGGGGAGGAACTTGCCACGAAGAGGGCACGCCTGCTATGTTCGTACCCGATCCCATGCATGCTTGCACCTCAGTCCCAATACTAAAGCTGAGGACCTGGTGTATCAATATATGAAGAACCATTCAAGCTAACCAACTCCACTCTAGACCAAAGCCGCAAGCGCGGAATCCTGGAGTCAGATCTGCTCCTCTCGACATTCGCAGACGTCTACTTGGGTAAGATGGACTACGATCAGCTCGTCGAGTACGATGCCTTCCTGGACGAGAACGACTGGGACATCTACTACTGGGCGACACAGGACCCACCAGAGGAGATCTCACCCTCCGCTCCTAAGGAGGATACCATCACCGAGACCTGGAAGGAGACTGGTGCCAAGAGCGGTGAATGGGCGCAGACTATTGGCGCTTTCAGAGCCGCTTACCGGCCTGTTCCGTCGCGCTGGCAGAAGTCTGAGGTTCTTGAGCTGCTTAGAGCCCATGTTCGCGATAAGAGTGCTACTGGCTTTGAGAAGGCCAAGAATAAGAAGACTGGTGGTGGCGGCTTGGGGAGAATGCCTGATGTTCAGGTGTTTGACTCGTAATGGGCCTGTGGAAGAGATTGAACTCGGGAAGTTTGTCGATCCAAAAACTGTACTATAGTTGTCATAGTGGTCATACTGTCCATAGGAGGCGTGTATTAAGAATGTTGTATATTTGATGGTACTGGGGTCAATGGGTGTAGAGACCACAGGTTGAGATAGAAAAACAAAGCAAGTGTTAATTTCGAATATAATAAAGAAAGCTTCAACTTTGAATTGACATTCAATTCTCTATTTCTGATATACATTGTAGTCGTCTGTATAGATGCAAGTCATGTGACTGGTTCGCTTAGTATTAGGGCTCCACGGAAACCACACAAGGAGAGCAGCGAAGCGGCTTAGGGCTTGAGCGGGCACGTCTGCCTCCATCTCGATTTTACCTCCCCCCCCAGAGTCAACGACAATCTCCGCCCATCCCTCTCTCTCCTTCATTGTCTCATTCCCATCATGGCTGAGCAGCTGGTTCTTCGCGGCACCCTTGAGGGCCACAATGGCTGGGTTACTTCCCTCGCCACCTCCCTGGAGAAGTAAGAATGACCTATCCCGATCGGGGGATTGAATTTTTGAAGGGACAAAATTCTGACTTGATTGCTTGATGATAGCCCCAACATGCTGCTGTCCGCATCCCGCGACAAGACCCTGATCATCTGGAACCTTACCCGTGATGAGCAGGCCTACGGTTACCCCAAGCGCAGCCTCGAGGGTCACTCGCACATCGTCTCTGACTGTGTACGTTTTTCTTCTCCCGAATGAACCACACCCAGAAACCATTCGATGCGACAGATGGATTTGGATGGAGCATTTGCGAATAAAAAAAAAGATGGAATGGTTTTGGCTGACCGATGGTCTTGTCTGCGTTATAGGTGATCTCCTCCGACGGTGCCTACGCTCTGTCCGCCTCGTGGGATAAGTCTCTCCGTCTCTGGGAGCTCTCCACCGGTAACACCACCCGCACTTTCGTCGGCCACACCAACGATGTTCTGTCCGTCTCGTTCTCCGCCGACAACCGTCAGATCGTCTCCGGTTCCCGTGACCGCTCCATCAAGCTGTGGAACACCCTCGGTGACTGCAAGTTCACCATCACCGACAAGGGCCACACCGAGTGGGTTTCCTGCGTTCGCTTCAGCCCCAACCCCCAGAACCCCGTCATTGTCTCCGCTGGCTGGGACAAGCTCGTCAAGGTACGCTATCGATTCCGAATTTCCCTGCAGAATTTCCTCCCCGCCTTGCTTTGCCCGCGTGATGTTTGCATAAACGTATTTGCTACTTCAGAGCCCTTCGGGGCCATGAGACAATTTTTCACCCATTTTGCCTGATGGGCACAGCAACAAATTTTTTGTTTTTTATTGAACGAGAGATGGATTGGAAAAAAATTTTCCTTGACACTTGACATTCTTTGAGGGTATCGACGCTAACATTTGATCCGCGTCTAGGTTTGGGAGCTCGCTTCCTGCCGTCTCCAGACCGACCACATCGGTCACACCGGCTACATCAACACCGTCACCATCTCCCCCGACGGATCCCTCTGCGCCTCCGGTGGCAAGGACGGTACCACCATGCTCTGGGATCTTAACGAGTCCAAGCACCTCTACTCCCTCTCCGCTGGCGATGAGATCCACGCTCTCGTCTTCTCCCCCAACCGCTACTGGCTCTGCGCTGCCACCAGCAGCTCCATCACCATCTTCGACCTCGAGAAGAAGAGCAAGGTTGATGAGCTCAAGCCTGAGTTCGTTGAGAAGGGCAAGAAGAGCCGTGACCCCGAGTGCATCAGCTTGGCCTGGTCCGCTGACGGCCAGACCCTGTTCGCCGGTTACACTGACAACAAGATCCGTGCCTGGGGTGTTATGTCGCGCGCATAGATTTGAGTTGTTGTATCGGAGCTTGAGGAGCCTCTTTTTGATCTATTGACAAGGGAATTGAAAAAAAGTTCAAAAGATACGGCCAAAGAGCATTGGTTTGGGATGTATGAGCCACGAGCAATGAAGCACTTCTCGCCGGGACTGAGATGTCCCCGGCCTGAAGGTTTTCTGACATGTCTAGCTTACTTGATCCGCAATGTATGGAATCTTGTGCAAGACGTGTGATGTTCTAATACCAGTTAAGGCATCAAAATGTTTCCTATTTTTCAATATCGAAAATATCTTGTAACATCATCGTACCGTATGTCTTCCAATGTCTTCAAAATGTTGTCTTGTTATGTAACTTCCTACTTGTCTTGTCCATGTAAGTATGCATAGCCGCCGGATATACCGTTTCGGCCTGTCAAATAATACATCCTATGATATCCATAAAAAGTCTGCGCTCTTTTCCCGTTTTTTTTTTCGCCGTCTACCTACGTCGTAAACCGGACAAGGGATACAATATCCAAATGACATCTAAAAAATAATGTCTGAGAAGACTACTACAAAGACCTCACAATGCCACATAAGCGACTGACTATGCTTGCATGTACCCGTGGACATATACAGGAGTGTCGAGCTTTCTATTTCCAACGTTGGTCATAATGTACATCAGGCTGAACAGAGAGGCCTTCACAGATCTACCCATTATTTCTTTCCAAGTCTCTTCAAAGCTTCCTTGGCCATAGTACTCCCTTCCTCGTATTCAATCTTATCCGCCAATTCCTTGGCCTCAGTATACCGCTGCTTAGCGACCTCTGGCTTCTTTTGTAGCTCAGCCAGCTCGCCCAGGTTATACGTCGCAACCACGCAAGTAATGTCACACTCCTCGTCACGTACTGGAGGTTGAATGTGCGCCGCGACCTCAATGGCCTTCTCGGCCCACTTCTGGGCAGCCTCAACAGTCTGCTGCGCTGTGACAGGTTGCTGTGGCTGAGATTTGGCGGGCAGTTGAACCTGGCCGACCAGAGCGGTGGCGACATCGTTCAGCAGCACCACCTGTTTGCAGGATATGGAAGTTCCTTCAGCGGCGCGGATCAAATCCAACGCACGCATATATAGCGGCATAGCCAGCTCGTAGCGCTCCTTGGCGGTATAGGTAGCAGCAAGCTCGGCCAACGCCGTGGCGATCTCAGTGAGGTTCAGCCATGCCTCGCCATCTGATCCCTCGCCACTGCTAGAGCTTCCAACAGGAAGTCCGAGCCTCTGGCGACGGTGCATTTCCTTCAAACAGATCTCCACAGCGGCAACCTGCGCAGCCTCGGCCTTCTTCTCGTCCTGGATATACTCGCTGGAATAAAGCTCTCCAAGCTTCATCGCAATGCCGACGACCTTCTTGAGCGCTTTGTCTCGCTGACGAGCCTCATACTGCGCCATTGCTTTCAGATCCTCCTCACTTTCTTGAACCGCCTCGGTGTCAATCTGGATATCGGCAGAGGTCTTCTGAACCTGCGCCTGCGCTTGCTTCACCTTCTCAGCCGCTGCCGCAGCGTTACCTGCTGCGACTTCGTCCACCCAAGCCAGGGTCTCGTTCTTCGTTCGCTCCAATACATCAATCGCCGGCTTCACAAGTCCAGCCTTCTCGAGCATCATAGCAACCTGCAGCTTGATTCCAAGTATCTCATCTGAGAATGGGTGGATACCCATCTCAAATGCTATATGAAGCGCCTCTCTGTAAGCCTTCATAGCCTTGGCCGGATTGAGATCGATCTCGGTGTAATAGACAGCCGTACGGAGAGCGTCGGCCACCGGCGGCGGGAATTTGTGGTACTGCGGCCCGACGCGTGTCAATTCCACGTAGGAGATGTAGGCGAAGATAAAGGCTCCACCGACGACGGAGAAGATTGCTAGTGGCATGAGCACGGGGTTCTTGCGCCAGATTCCTTTAGATGCTTCGCGGTATTTGCGGCTGATTTTCTGTAGGATCGTGAGGTGCCGCGTGCCGGAGATATATGGGCTTGCGAGTGGTTTGCCATTGTTGATTCGTGGGTGGAGGGTCGGTCGGGTGGTACTGTTGGTGTATATTGAGCGGGCGAGGCTCTTTGGTTGTGGTTGTAGAAGTTTTGCAGCATGCGCACTCGCGCGCTGTGATGCTGCACGGAACATTGGGGGTGTGTGAGTGAGTATTGGGCTGTAATTTCAAGTTTGATTTTGATTTAGCGGGTGATTGTCCGATACAACTTGGGGATTTGATGTAAAGAATAGAGAGGGAGGGGGAGAGGGTATATGGAGAGTTGATGGAGAGTCCGCCCTCGATTTTCCGGTGGTCCAAGCTCCGCTCCGCCATATGACGTCGCCCGCTGGAGTACGCACTCGTCTTTCTGCTCATTCTATCTAGGAAATACACTGGTTTCATCCAGGACTGATCGTGAGGGCTCTACTATTGAATAAATCTAGTAGCTCAGACCGATAATGTGTGGGCGATACGCTTTGGGCGTGGTATGTTACGGTTCCTGAATGTAGACTTGTCCGCCAGCTGACGATCCCAAGCGCTTGGCGTACATCCGACAACACCTGCAAGACCAAGGCATGCAAGTAGATGAAGCACCAGATGACGATGAAGTCAGGGAGACATACAATTTTGCACCGGGCAACTTCGGCGTTGTCTATCGCGCTGATATCACCGACAAAAGGAGCTACAATCCTCAGCAAGATACTGATAGCGAACATCAAACTAGAACTTCAGAGAACGAAGGTGACGTGAGCTCAAACGATAAAACAGCAGACAGCACGGCTATCAAATACAAGCTCCAGAGCATGAAATGGGGTCTCATCCCATTCTGGACGAAGCGCCAGCCGGATTATGGATCCATGATGCGAACAATTAATTGTCGCGATGACTCTTTGATTGAGGATTCCGGGATGTGGACTACCATGAAACGGCAAAAGAGGTGCATCGTCATCTGCCAGGGCTTTTACGAGTGGCTGAAGAAGGGGCCTGGGGGTAAAGAAAAGGTTCCACACTTTGTCCGGCGCAAAGACGGGGAGCTGATGTGTTTCGCTGGATTATGGGACTGCGTTTCCTATGAGGGCATGTCTAGGCTTTTCTGATATAATGCACCAATTAGGCTGACGATTACTTTACACAGGTTCTGACGAAAAGCTCTACACATACACGGTGATCACAACCTCTTCTAATTCCTACCTAAAGTTCCTGCATGAACGTATGCCCGTCATTATGGACCCCAGGAGCGAAGCGATGAATAAATGGCTGGACCCCGGCCGAAAGACCTGGTCAAAGGAGCTACAGTCAACCCTCAAGCCTTATGAGGGCGAGCTGGAGTGCTATCCTGTCCCCAAGGAGGTTGGGAAAGTTGGAAATAATTCTCCAAACTTTATTGTTCCTGTCGACAGCAAGGAAAACAAGAGCAACATCGCAAATTTCTTTGCCAATGCGAAAACGAAGGATGGTCCTGACCCATCTCCAAAGAAGGAGACGTCGCCGAAAATGAAGATGGTTAAAGACGAGGATCCCCGCCCTACTAAGGATTCAAAATGGTCCGGGGACAATGCCCCAAAGCCGGTCCCAGCTGTCAAAAGGGAGCATAGTCCAGAACCTCCCGGTGCCACGGAGGAAAGTAAGAAGCAAAAGGTCAACCCAGATTTAACAGGGCTATCGCCGCAAAAGAAGAACTTACGCAGTGCTACCCATAATAGCCCTATGAAGAAATCCAGTGGGACAAAGGCAGCGGATGGATCGCAGCGAATTACGAGCTTCTTCAAGAAGTGATGATAGATGAAATTAAGCAAATGCATCTTCGTTTTTTTTTTTGGTCGGCCATACATTCTTGATCAATATACGTTTTTTTATTTTGTCAAAGTAGAGATATGAATCCCCTGACCGACTAATATTTACTAGGCGACAAACTTATATCTAATACACTAAGCGAGCTCAGCTCCATGAAGAAGAAAATTCAGCTGACGTGCACGATTTGTTGAGTTGAGGATAACCCAAGTGCAAGAGGATCGCGGTTAAAGAAAGAATGAGTAGAAAGTCTGTGCAAAAGGTTCAACAGCAACCGAATGCGAGTGGACAGCTAAAGGCTGATATATATTTTACATAGGATTTCATGGGCGATGTCCTCACATTTTGAAGTGTTCACTTCTCAAGTTCTCGTAACTTCTGGACCAGCTTTTCTCTGAGGAAAGGACTCAATCCAAAACTATATCAATCAATCAACATCGAATACCAGCATGACCGGACATCTAACAAGGGGGGTACTTACATTCCATCTCGGGTCAGGATACGATAAGTACCTACTAAGTATCAGCTTGGCCTGTTGAGTCTCTTATAGTCAAAAAACATACCACTTGGCTGATAATTGCCATTCTCTCCAACGAATTGACCATTAGCATCTACCTCGAGGCTTCCAAACATATCCTCGGGCCTGAATGGCATTAGTATAAGTCTCACATGGAATAAAATATACTTATTGAAACACAGGCAAGCACCTACCAAGCAATCCGCCCATAGTCAGGCGGGCGTCTGCCATCAGAGACATGAATCCAGCCACCACGTCCGCCTGCAGCGCCTTGACCACTAGCACCACTGCTCGAGTCGCCTCGACGTCTCCCGCGCTGGCCGCTTAATAACACGCCGCCTGAGTTCAGGTTGGCCCCGCCGACGGACACCATGACCTGCGCTTGAGACTTGGCATCCGGATCTTCATGTGCGTACTCTGAACACACATCTTGTACTATATTCAGGAATTTGGGGTTTTCTTTGAAAGAATCTGTTGTCGGTGGCAGTTGTGTCGACATTCCGATAGCCAGGTCCGGATTCACTGGCTCGGAGGGTAATAGTGACAAGATATGGGCTCCACTTGCTGGTTCAGCATTTGGGAACACGTACTATCAGAAATTTAGTTTCCATGAGGGCTCTGTAAGGTGTAACAATAGCATACTATGTGCGGAGACCCTTCCAATGTTGATACATAACGGAACTGAGTCCATTTGGGAGG